TGTACTGTCATTTGGGAAATCATTATCTTTAAATTCCCCTAGTTTTGATAAGGTTGTGCATGCTTATTGCCTTCCAATGTAAGGAAATCGTAATTAAAATAAATGCTAAAAATAGGAAACTGGAGTGTATGTCCCTAACTGTTGAGATAGCTGATAGACTCAACTTTACAAAATGACTTTCATGGGGCAATGGGGTGCTGAAGATGCAAAGATGTTTAATACTATCCTGTGAAGTTTCCCAATTGTTTGATGTTCATTGAAATAAATAAAATTTCTCTGTCTCTAACTAATGACTTTTGCTCTAGGGTAGAGTTAGACATTTGCAACTAATGCACGTCTTCTGACTTCACCTCTTTGAAGCAATTTCTCTGCAAGTAGAATTATAATTGGCATTGATCTTTGAGATTTATCCCAACATTTTTATTGTTGTATCAATGTTTCACATTTTATCACTGATACGGTAACAAGGAATTGCTAAGTGAGGAAAAGTGATTATTGGGCAATTACAGCTAGTGTCCAGGATGGCATTATTCCTGTAACAAGGAGCTATTACACAGCTGATGGATTCAACATTATGCTTTTTATTCTGTAGCTCTTCAACATTTACCAGTGGACAGTAGACATAAATGATGAACATCAAAGAGTATGGTCCTCTTAGTCATATCATGTAGGCAGATGAGAAACTGTAGTTGGATTTACCTTTATAATACACTTGGTTGTCTAATTTGAGTTCATCTTCAAGCCTTGTTGTCAACATCACTTACTTGTTATGCCCCGTATTCAAAAATAAAAACATCATCTTATGGAGCCAACAATAAAGTGTTTATGAGTGAAACAACTATATAAACACTGAATATGGGAAAAATGTGTATTTTTAAAATAATTCTGCTTTTTGTTATCATTTGAAAATGGTATTTTCAAGGATCAGGTAATTTTGGAATAGATGAACTGAAGACAGAGATGTGAAAATGAATATTTCTACTGATGTGAAAATGAATATTTCTATTGATGTTTATGTTTTAAATGCAAAATACTATGAATTCCTCAGAGATATTCTGTAGTGATCTGGATCTTAAATGTTTACATGTACTTTGTGGCAGAAGCTGACTAGGAGGGATTGCTGAGGTACGTGTGATCACAAGAATGTAAATGTATTTTAGATATAGCAAAAAAAATTCTAATTTCAATAGACATAGGAAAAAATAATTTAATAAAAATTAATGCTATCTTGGCCCAGTTGGTTTTAATATGTTATAAATTAAGACATTAATTGTCAAGTTCATTTTGAATAGTAGTCATACAAATCTTCTAACATGTTTTTACTCCAATGGTAGTTTTTTTAAGGAACATATTATGCCATGTCCCTAATTTTGCCTGGATTCCTGCAATTCAATGCCCTCAAAGGGAATACAGTGTCAGTTTTCCCATTCGCTGCATTTCCCTCAGTGTTGATGACTGCAGGTATACAGTGGCTTCGAAAATTATAGTTGGTCACTTAGACAAACTGCTTTATGATACATAAAGTGTGTGGTGTGAGCTTTTGTCATTAATGCAGTAAGCAAAGGCCACTGAAGGGAGAGACTAAGAGTGGGCCCTTCAGTTAATCAGCTACTGACATGGTCTACCCAAGAACAGATGAAATCATGAACTAGCACAGTGGCAGTGGCAGTGGAAAAGAGGACAGTTACACAAGTTGTTACAGAGACATAAATGCCTTCGTGAGTCACTTGATGTGGGAGGCAGAGGCATGACTCCGGTGCTCATGCCTGGCTTACTGGGGCCATGGCGGTGCTTTTGCCAGATATAGAACAGTCAGGAAAGGATGATAACTTCCAGGAGAAATTATAAATACAGAATGTGTTCTGATGCATTGACTTTGAATTAAGGAAACCTTTCAGTCTTATTGATTTACCACCAAGGTAACATTTTCCAAAGAGTGATACAATGAAACTGGTACAAGAGAAGATGATTCAGGGGGTGGGTGAAAGGGCTATCAATTAGCCTTTAGTTATGTGCCAAGCAAATATTTTCCTGTGCAGTGTTCTCTCTGACTTGTGTACATTAAGGAAAATGTTGTATTTTGGTAATAGTTGTGCTACCTACTCTATCCCTGACACATGTCTTTGTTTTCTTTTGCTTTTTCAATACCTTCATTGTGTGGCTAATGCAATTATATGCACTTACAATTTAAACATATTTGTTTATTTACAAATTACATTTTACATCAATTTCTATTTGTATCAGTTGGTTCTGGTTTTCCACGTAGTATAACTTTAGGGAAAAAAATGCTAATTTTACTAAAAATAGCAAATCTACTTCAAGAAACAAATTACTAAGTTCAGGAAGCCAGTTTGACCTGGCCACAGCCTCAATCTGTGACTGACAGAGTTAGCCCTAGTAATGCTGGTCTCTTGCCTGTATAATATCCCACACTCTGTAAATAAACAATACTAGTAGGGTAGTAGCAGAGTTTTACTACCAGATCTGGTGCCACCTGTTCTACGTATGTTCCTGGCACCCTAGATCCTTGCTTGAGATAAACCACACACATTCTGGCCTGCGTGCAAGTCACTTTCTGTGCTGGGCATTAAATAAGCTCATTTCTTTGACCCAGTTTCTTTGGCCTTGCTGCTGGGCTTGACCAAAGTTCTGTCAGTCAGTCTTCAGAAATTACACTCTGCAATTCTAAATCTGCACAAGTCTTTCTTCGGTGTCAGGGCACTTTTGGTCAGTTCTTATGCACCATATTTTCCTGAGGCATTAAGGAACTAGCAGAATATTCATTCATAAGATACAATAAATTGAAATGAACAGAAGTCAAACAGTAGCTGCCTCATCTTAAGCAATATTCCTGTCTAGTCACAATGGAGGTGACTTAACGGAGATATGTTTGCTAAAAATCTATAAGAAAGCCACTTATAGTAATGGCTAAATTACCAAAAGATTTCAATTTGAACATCTGATAATTACCCAAGGAAGTTAATTAATAAAATGTATTGTAGACATTAATTCCTTAAATGGTTTTGATTCAAAGATATGAATTTCATCACAAATCAATGAAATACTGGATTAGAACTTCAAATCAATACAAAGTTAGTTGTCCCAAAATTCAAGGTTGCCGCTCTGTTACTGATGCTGGTTTTCAATTTAGCCATTTCTCTTCATGGAAGAAACTTAAACAATGCTGCCTACAAAATGCAAAGACCAAGAACAAATGTAAAGCCTAACAACCATGAGAAAATTCGCAATGGAGTTGATGAGTCTATTAATTGATATATCACATATAGTATGTTTTTTTCAGTTTTGCTATTATTTCCTTACAAATATTAATAGCCTTATGGGACCTTGGTAATGCTTTGTCATATATTTAAAGTAAGTGGATTATTTTCTCCTTGAGTATATCTTAATAGTCATCAAAGACTCTTGGTCATTCTCCATGTGAACACTGAACCAGGAATAAGATTAGGTCGTTTCATGTAAAATTCCATCCTACACTTACTGCCACTTTTCTCAATGTAATTCTAGTCTCAAAATGACTACACAGATAAATCTACTAGTCACAAGTTTATGTTGTTTTAGAAGACAGGGATGATTGTAGGCATGTGACTATACAACAAAAATGCATTGCCTGATTCCTCATTCTGTAAGTAGAAAAATCTGGAGATTATTTTTGTACATGTTCTTCTTTCACAGTTAGAAGACCTCAGTTGTAAGTCAACCTTGGTTTTTTTCCCCCATGAATCAATGGAAAAATTCTTGTAGTATTTGATTATCAAGGCTAAATAAGAATGGCTTTGGGAGAACTGTGAATGGTACAAACAATAGAGCTAAATAACTCCATAATACAGAGACTAATGCTTTTGAGGGCAGAGTCTTAAATTGTTATCTTATATACCAGACCCTATTCCAACATTATTCATATATCATATAAATTCTAGAAAAATTGTATATATTTGAATAAATCAACAGAAATCTGCCTGATTCATGAACATCTATTTCAGAAGACAAATTTTAATAGATAATGAACTGAGAACATAATGTCTGCATTTTGAATTGAAACCTATTAAAACATACTTTAGAAAAATTAGCTCGAGTAATCTACATAGAATATATGCTCAACATTGCAGAGTTCAAATTAGACATACATGAGATAGAACTGGTCGGGAATTATGCCTAATTTTCTTATATGGGATTTTGACTAAATTAAATACTACTATTAAAGGAATAAGAAAGCATATATTTTGAAATAAAATATTGACTTTTACCTTTATTTGAAAAAATCTGAAGTCTTGAGTACATTATGACTCATACAAATGATTATTGTAACCAATTTAGAGTTAGGTCTGCCACTGACTGAGCTCTCATCATTGGGAAAGGATCACTTTAAGCATTTAATTTTTTAAAATATATGAACAGAATACTTGTGCTCAGTTCCTTTTACCAATTTTGAGTATTTGCAAAAGCAGATCCCTTCAGAGGTTCAATAAGTTTTTCCAGTATCTATAGCTGAATTCTAGCTGATGAAATAAAGATTTGAACCGAACCTGTCCAATACCCAAATCACAGTCTCTTGTCAGTTAATAGGGGCCATTTAAAATAATGAATTATTGAAAGGAGACTAGGTCTATATTGACAGCAGTCATTTTTTTCTGCACTAGTAGAACATACATTGTTTTGATAAAGGCTACTTCAACATATTAGAAAAATATTCCCTAAAACAACTAATACATTTGAACTTAATGAATGTTTTCTTTTTAAGAATAATTGCCATTTTTAGCTTAAAATTAGCAGATAATTTAATAATCAAATTTGTTTAAAATTGGTAGAATGCATTCATATTTATCTATTCTACTAAAACACTGACTATAATTATCTCTAGGAATTAAAAGACTTCATTGAGTTTCTGAATATCATTTGTAGACAAACAAAAGTCTTCCAACTCACACATACCAAAGTTTGAAGCTGGATATGTTACATAAATTATGTTAAGTGCATCTTACCGGAAGTAGTCTTGACTACTTCAGTGGTATTTCTCAGTCCAACAAATGAGAATTGGTACAGCCTCCACGATCTTGTGTCACCCACTTCAACAGAACTATGCTTCCACTGGTAGACAATTTCTTCACGTGGATAGCCATCTACAGTGAGGTGGGAAAGCTTACATTATGAACAATAATGAATCAATACCTGTAACAACCTTCTACACACAAGAAACTGAGGTAAGTAATGAAAGTGTCATAAATCAGAGGATAAATGATAAATGCTATTTCAACATACTAGAAAATTATTACCTAAAAGAAAAAATAAATTTGAAAAAACCTAATAAATGTTTTCTTTTTAAGAATAATTGCCATTGATTTTTGCTTAAAATTAGCAGATAATTTGTTAATTAAATTTGTTTAAATTGGTAGAATGCATTCATATTTAATACATCCAAGACTAAATTATTGTAGTAGCCAAGATGACTAATATATCATCATGTCTTAAAATAGGGTAAGATTCAAAAGTTAGAATGTCAAAATTTCCCTGGAAAATTAGGTTACATTGCATTGAAGTAATGCTATACATAATTTCCTATATGCTGTATTCATATTTTGAAATCATCTGAGGTAATTTATAAGTAACTAGTATAAGCTAACAAGTAAGAATGTAATATATCATTTTGTAGTGAAGTTTAGTCAACGGGAAGATTTTGAGAGTCTTGCTTAAGTAAAAACTAAAGAAAATAATAAATTCAAGTTTTCCAGAGTGAAAAATGCTTGGGGAAAATTGCAACTTTTACATTATTATCCCTTTATTTTTAGGCTAATTTAATATACATATATACCCAAAACAATAAATAGGGATGCCAAGGGGAATAAATTAATTATTTTGGTACTTAGATAAGAGAAATTCTTCATTAGAAAGGGTTTATAATGAAATAATTATGAAGACAACTTTCCAAACCAATATCCTGGGAAATTTTCTTACTTTTTTTCTAACTTGCTTCTATTTGAGCATGTTAATGTTACTTAATGTGCAGAACATATTTCCTGACTGGAAAACATTGTTAAGCTAAATGTGGAATAAACTTTCTCAAATATAAATAAAAGGACGAACTAATCATCTATTGATAACCTTGATTATAAAGTATGATTCATGACTCATGGTAAAATTTCATTAGTTTACTTCTTTCTTTTTCAGTTTTGATTTAATTGTCTATTATGTTCAGGGAAATCACAATAAAAATGACAATTTGAGAATTATTGGGGATGTATGTAGTGGAATGAATATAAAACTGGGAGAAAATAGAAATCATTAGGAAATTTCTGCATGGAATGACCTGGTGACTGATGTTTCTATAGCAATGATTAATATTACATTGTACTTGGGCTCAGAGTAAGTCACGTGCAAAACTGAAGGCACAGAAACAACCAGTTCTTGAGATTTCAGTTACTCAGGAGAGAGGCAGTCCCATTTAGAAAATTAAAGATAAAACAGGTTTATGTCTTTAAAGTTCATGGAAGCATTAAATTTATAATTAAATATGTTCTGTTCTTGGATGAAGCAAAGAAAAAGATTTATAATGAGAACTGTTATATCTGATGTACACATAATTTTCTCCTGATTATCACTTGGATCTATGTAATGATGAGTACATGATTGATTCTCTTGTCATTCATTTTTATGTTTAATTACAGGATTAGCTTAGTTGTTCTTAAGAGCATTTTTTAAAATATCTGGCAGAAAAATTGTATTTGTAAATATATACTTAAAGGATCAATTTTTTAATTTTGTCTAATATACACAACTAGCACAATATAAGTAAGGTGGATTTGGACAGTCTAAGAGATGCTGAACAAACAGTAAAGCAAGCATTTTGGTTGAACAAGGCTTGCTTGCGTAGATTCTGACATCTCTGAAGATGTTTAAAATTAGGGAGCCTCTCTATATTGCATTACTGATGACAATACTTATTAATAAGAAGTTATGCTTTTGTTGCATCTAACTGCATCAATATATCAAACATTGCATGCATATGATGACAATAAATCTATTTTTATGTGAGAGATGTTCATTGGCAACATTTTTCCCTCTGAAGGAAGGGGTAGAGGATGCATAACCAACACCACATGCTCCTTCTTCTGAGCCCTGCTCTATGAATACAACCCATCCCAGAAGGGCTCCAAGCATTATTACCAGTTGAATAAAAGTTTAAAGAATATTTATAATTCCTGTCAAAATACATCCATTGTCCTAACTGGGGCAAGTTAGAGTTATGAAAACAAGAGACAGCCAACATCTTCAAAGCCAACAGCATAGACTAGTGCAGTCTTGCGGTTGTCTGAAGTTCTCCCAGTTACTTGAAATTACAGTCAAGGACCTCAGGGGAGAGATGATACAAACAGAAAAGGGATTTTACTTACAACTGGAGAACTCCAGGGGGCAGGAGTGTTCATCCATTGGGAAGTTGTGCAACTGTAACTGGCACTCGGCATCGATTGTCAGCCTAAGTAGAAAGGTATTAAAAGTACGTAGAAAAATACAGTGTAATTTTTGAACATAGTTTCCAGAAATTCTAATGTGGAATTTCACATTCAGGTGGAAAGCACAAAATGATGCTCGCTGAAAAAAATACCCATCACGTTAAGTAAAAAATAAGACTGAAAAAACTACAGCCAGTGTTGGTGAAGCATGTCCCCAGAACTTGGGAAGCCGAGGCAGGACTTTAGTGAGCTTGAAATGCCTGGACTGTGTAACGAGTTCAAGGCCAGCTTGGAATATAAGGAGACTCTGTTGTTTTTCTTGTTGGGGGGTGGGGTGGGGAGACAACTTAGAGAATATTCATTACTAAAGACCAAACAATAACATTTCACTCACTTCACTCTCATTTATTCAAAATCTGTATTACTTAAGTTTTGTTTTTCAAAAATTAATTGCACAAGAGATTACTCAGGGATATATATATGTTATATATATATAACAAAAATCAGAATTTGAACTCATTCATTGTTTGCAAACAAGTAAGTGCTGTCCATTCTCAGAACTTATCTGCTACTTAAATCAAGGTATTCTAATAGTAAAGAGTTGTTCATGATTAGTTTTATGCTTCTGTAAGTTTAAAATGTGTTCATGATTAGTTTTATGCTTCTGTAAGTTTAAAA